GAAAATAAGAAGGATTCTTAATGACGGGTTCCACGTCGACAAGCTTAAATTACAACAGACAGCGGATTTCCTTTTAACCCACCCCAATGCGCTTTGAGATCACCTTGTTTTTACACTGCAGATCTACTGTTTTTTCAACATTGCGATCGATAATTGTTGAGCTTCAAGGGCATTCCGGGAAACGCATTAGTCGATAAGATTGCCAAAAGCGCCATTGGTCTGCCGATGAGATGAGGTGAGCTATGAAAGACGTTAGAGACTTTGTACAATGAAATTTGCGAGTGGGCTTAAAACCGGATGGAAATGAGACAGAATGCTTTAACGAAAGAAATCACTCCTACTTTCTATCTAAGCGGCCTCTAGAGCAATTTAGGACATTTTTAGACCGAATTACAGGCCACAACCTACTGGCAGCACAAGCGAGAAGTATGCGAAGTAAATAGTACCAATGGCACATGTAAGAATTATAGGAATTGTATTATCTAGAACTCATCCTAAACATCTAGAAGAATCGCCTTTCAGCGCACTAGAATAAGTTTGAAAACTGGATGTCGTCTTACGTGACGACTATTTTATCTCTAATTAAATTGAACCAACAACCCAAGATAAAAAGGATCTACCTGTTCTGTGTAAGGCTCAGCAGTCAGGCAAAACAACCTAACCTAACCAATGGAGCGTACACTTCACCAGACTCATTCTTTGGGGTGAAAAGAGAACCCACGAAGCTACGAGAGCTCGTTGCATACCTGCTGAAATAAAGTACGGTAAAGTGCACGTATCATCTTCTGTGCTAAACAAACTCTTAAGTGTACGTGTCTGATAAGTGGAACCTAATTTTACTCTGACCCAAAGAGAAGCATGACATTTTATCGTTGGATAAGCCTTCGCAATATCCCTTATGAGGTCTTAGCGGGCGTACTTATCAGAACAGAATATGGATCTTATCAGCATAGCCTCGGAGTCATCATTAAAAAGATATACACCATACACCAAATATATAGGTGGAACCAACAAGCAAACTCCAAGTCTTCTAGTTCCAGAAGAAGTTACAAACAAAAATGCATTGCAAAATCTTTTGAAAAATTAACGCAGAAGTGTATCGTCTTCTAAAGACATGTTTTGAAAGACCGTAAAAAAAGGTCTGTTAGAGGTTTTGATTCTATAATCTACTGTCTTTCGAAAGAAACCAATTAAGGTTTGAATTAACTGAAAAAAGGTCTTGTTTGGAGTACCGAAATCTGCTTCAGCTGGGAACGAAGTATACAATTCTAAATTAAAACAAAAAAAAATGTAGTCAAATTTTCGAATTTTTACTATCCACAAGTGTCATTTATATTTTACCATTTTATTGCATTATTAATGTATTGATCTATTTTTTACGACTTAAAATTATAAGCGCGTTATTAAAAAAGCTTTCGAATTCCAAGTCATCCACTCAAAGTCATGCCCGCCAATGTTCATATATATATATAAATGAGAGTTAATAATATAACATACATAAAAAGCATACTTATAGGGAAGACATAACACTCGTGTATACATACATATATATTAAATATTATATATTTATATGCAAAACATGACATGCATCATATGGAACGTGAGAAAATTTTCATTATTTTTTTTATAAATATTTTATTTGGTTATTGGAGCGTTTTGGTTAATATCTTTTTCTTTTTTTTTTGTAATTCAAATTTTTGGCGCCCTTTATTATTACAAGCGGGTGCTCATTTTTCTATACACACTTCATTTGCACTCATTACAATTTTTTTTATAATTTTTTGATATTCAAACAGCGCCTTTGGCCAAATCGAAATTACCACAATCATAGTAAATAAATAGGGCCAAACGAAGAAATCATACTTCAAGGTGTTTGCATTACAAATTCAAGTTTATACACGTACGAGTGCATACTTCTGTTATTTGTAACGCCACCTAAAGCGAAGTACATGTACATATATGAAAGTGTACATACGTTCGTTTAAAAAGAAAAAAAAAGAAAAAAATAAAAAAATATAAAAATATAAAAATATAAAAAAACAAAAAAAAAAATTGTAACAGGCGTTGGGTAAACAAATTGCAGTAAGCAGTTATGGTCCTCTGTACATACATATGTATTCCTATGTAAGCACAGTAAATTAAAATGTATGCATTTGTACTTGAAAGTATTTACAGTGAGGTGCAAAATTGCTGCCTACCTTTGAAAAGCATTTTTCGTCAATTAACAAAGGTCCAACGCTAACAATCGAAGAATAATTAATACAAATACGAATTGTAATACAATAGCCGAGTGGTTAGCATTGCGTACTGTCATTCGGAAGACGAGAGTACCGTAGGGAAATTCTCTATCATGGCACATAGCGCCGTCTTGCTGAAAGTTCACGTTATGCAAATCAATATCACCCGATTTCGGCCATAAAAGATCATTAATAATCTCTCGATCCATTCATTTCAGAAAAGGTAAGTTACAATAGCCAAGCCGAGCCATAAACCACACCAAACAGTTACACGTTGCGAGTAAATCTTATGTTTTCTATGCGCCAGATGCGAAAGTTTCCCTAATTTACAGTGGCGTAGTTTTTACTTTGCCAAAAGTCAAAAACTAACAGCTCCAAAAGTGACATCTACTGGAGTCTCAGGCTATCCAAAATAACTCCTCTTATTGGAAAACGCTAAATTTGATCATATAATTTATATTGAACAAGTAAAGATTACTGAGATATTTCCAACCGAACGTTGGAAGCTCAGCTGATATTTATATTATATGCCTAACGACTTACCTCACATTCCCATTAGGACTAATGCTCATATATATGGATGGCTTGTTTGTGGGCCCTCTGTAGCTATCATATGCGTTCAAGTAGCAGTCTGGTAACATAGTTTGGTATAATCGTCCTTTTTTCAAGAACACTAAAAAATATGGACGCAGTTATAGCACCTACGCATGAGCATCTCGTCTTAGTACGCGCTGAACCGTTGAAACCTTGAACGCATTTTTTTCGAAACAGCGATCTTACGGTCATCCCGGATGATAAAAAATTTTCTATCCCACCCATTGGGAAATTTGAATATGTTGTACTCATCAATAGCTCACTCAGAAACTCAGGATCTCCTGTTGTTTTGGCTAATTTCCATTTTACAGCCACATTTCTACCTTAAAAAGTCACTATTTTCAAAGCAACAGCCTTTCTTATTTAGCAAAATTACAAGCTCACAGAGCAATAATGTGCTAAAAATTGCGGCTATATTAACGCACTTAATAGTTGTTGGTTAATAATGAAATGAATAATACAACAACAGATTACATGGCTGATGTTGGCGCACTGGTAGAGCACTTGCCTGTTAAGTCAGGATCCCTTGGTGCGATCCGTGCCATAAGAAGTCTGATGAGGAGATGAATCACCGCATCTCCGAAACAGCTCCGAAACAGCTGTCACTTCTACCATTTTTCTTTTTTGTATAACAAAATATTCAATTCGTACAAACATATCAGGCCTTTAGTTTATTTAATACTCATAGCAAAAAATAATGGTTTTGATTTTTCTATTTTAAATGCCCTCAAGCGACCAAATCACCGGAGTCAGCCATATACTTCTTTCAATCATTTATTTGGTACACTCGGAGAAACTAAAAAAAGCATTAAAAAGAATGCAAGTTACCGAACTACTACCTTCAGTAAGCTGAATTTTTTTCTCGATGAATTTCTTAAAAACTCGAACCTATGTTTGGTCGAAAGTAGAAGAACTGTTATACGCAAGATAGGTCGAAAGTAAAAACCCGTTTTTCACCTTTCATATTTTGCCTTATAATGTTGTTGTCACCCAGAAATATGACTTTAATTGCACATTTAGTTACTTTAACTTACACTTTTCGTACACTTTCGGGCTTGGAGTTCATCCATTTACGTCCATGCTTGACAGACAAGACTAAATCAGTTCGTCTCGTAATTACACGTTTGATTTACTCAAACATGCCCATATCTAAACTAAAATATGTCAATTGTCAGCTTTTGCATCAACTCCATACTAGTTCAATACCAGTTTATTTATACCAGTTAAAATATTGGTTCGTCAAAAACCAGCTCGATAGATTCCGGTGTTCAAGTAGATTTGAGAACGGTTTTAAAAAATTTCAGTTCAAGTGAAAAAAAATATTAAAAAACCACAATTATTTTTGGTTGCTGTTGTAGCGGCAAGTCTAATAATGCGCGGCCGAAGCTTTGCTTATGAGTTCTGAATTTTTATTTTTTTTTTGAAAACGACAAACAGGTATAAATTGGCCCGCAAAATACTAGTTCATATACTAGAATTTTGCATACTGCTGCAGATTTTACCGAAAAATACTAGTACAGTTCTTGTTTAAGAAGCTTTCCGTAATGAAGTATTCCAAAAGGTGGCTATCCGTTAAGTCAATGTAGAGCGCTGTTAACGCAGAAAACATTATCGTTATCTATTAGTCGAGTTAAAGACGACAGTTCAGTGTTTGACGCATATGTTACTTTTCTCAACTTTTTTATTTTTTGTATTTAATTTTGAAGACTTCCCAAGTCTTCGCCTCGTCTTTCAGTAATACAAAATTTATATTTTCTGTTCGTGAACAATTTTAAAACACACTGTACAACGTTAAAAAATACCCATTAAGTAAAATCAATAGACATTTATAGCTAAATAGTTGAACGAACGACTTGACCAAAAGCGGAAAACAAACAATATTCCGAAAAAAAGCTACTGCATAATAAACATTAAGAAATATATATGCAAACGTGTAGGACAAGCAAGCGAACGTATTGACCAGCCATTTCGAGCAGCTGAATATTGAATGCCTAAAGCCAAAAGTACTTTGAATTTCGATTATTTACTATGAGCCTTAACAGACAAAATATGCATAGAGTCGTACATACATATATACATACATATATAGGCAAATATACCAAAAAGAGCTTCATTAATATATAAACACTGACACACGCACACAATGGTAGTTAGATAATTGAAACTCACCTTTTGGCATGCCACACGGTCCCTTCGTACGTGAGTTATCCAAAAAGTCCAAATCATATTTTCGCGCAGGTGGATAAGTGAGCGCCACATGTGCCTCGCCCAGCTGCAGTAGACAGCAAATATGCAGGCATAGATATAATGCCGCGATGGTAAAAAATATTTTTGGTCGTTTTGTTGCTGTTAAATTTACTGCTGATGACCGATGAATTGTTGCCGGTGGTGTGGCTATAACGCCTGCTGCTGACTTATGTCGTTGCCGTAGGCGATTATTGTTGTGTGGCGCATTCATTGTTGTTGATTTCAGGTGTGTTTTTATTTGTTGGTTTTTGTGTTTTCTTTTGTTTTTTATTACCTAATTTTTGCTAGTTAGATAAAAATTTTAATGGTATTTTCCACGCGCCGTTTCCCCGTTTTTTAATATATTATAATATTTTCACAAAAAAAAAACTGTTTCCAAGTTAAAAAGTTTCCTGCAAACTTTTTTGACTTTCTTTTGCTCTTAAAGTGAAATGTATGTAAAAGCTTTATGGTTGAATTTTACTAGTAGCCATTAGTCTACCTGAAAATTTGGTAAATTTCTTTAATTTTTCCTTTGATTTATTTGATGTTACTTCATTTATATTTTTATACATAATTTTATTTTAACCTATTTTACTTATATTAATTTTATTTATTTATCATTTTATTTTTTATCCTTTATATTAATTTGTTTTATTTAATTCTATTTTATTTTTTATCTTTGTTTATTTTTTATATAATTTTAAAATATAAAACATTTTTGTATACACAGTATTTTTTTATCTTTTATATATATTATTTTTTTTATATATTATGTTTTCAAAGATACTATATTATTTCATTCAATTTTTTTCATTTTATTTTATATTTTTATTTTACTTGTTTTTATGCAATTTTTTCTTTATTTTATATATTGTAATTTATTTCGTTTTGATTTATTTTATTTTTTATTATTTTATTTTATTTTATTTTATTTTATTTTATTTTATTTTATTTTATTTTATTTTATTTTATTTTATTTTATTTTATTTTATTTTATTTTATTTTTTTTTATTTTACTTTACTTTATTTTATTTTTTTTTTCATTTTACTCTATTTTATTATGCTTTATTTAATTTAATTTTTTTATTTTATAGGATTTAATATTATTATTTTTTTATTTAATTTATTTTATTTCATATTATTTATTTTTTTATTCTTTTCTCAATTTTATTTTAATTTGCATTATTTAAATTTTCTTTTTTGTTTATATTATTTATAATTTTATATTAGAATTTTATATCATTTTACTATTGTATATTAATTTATTTCATTAAATTTTATACTTTATTTTACTTTACGTCATTTTGTTTTATTAATTACTTATATTTATTAAATTTATTTATTCGCTTTATAATATATTATTTTGTTTTTTACTGAATTATTAATTTTTTTATTTAATTTAATTTTTTTATTTTATTTTATTTTATTTATTTTTAGCTTATCTTATTTTAATTTATTAGACATTATTATATTTTTTTTATATTATAATATTTTATTTTATTTTATTATTGACAACATTTTATTAATAGTGGCTGCCACGAGTGCGTGAGCATTTCATTAGCTTCAGAGCTTTGTGCCACATAAAAATATTTCGAAAACCACATCCAAAGTTTTTGTGAAGTTTTTAGTATTTAATATACACTTTTGTGTTACACACATGCTAAGTAAAGCTTTACTTGATGTTTTAAATTATTTTAATTGTATAAAAAAGTTGTGGATCCCTTTTTTTACATTTAAAATTTTCATCATAAAATACAGTTATACTTTCTTAGTTGGAGTGTTGTTCCGATTCGTTGTGTGTAAAATTATGTTTTTTTTTTAACCTGAAAAGAAAAATAAAATAAAATAAAATATTTAGAAAATATATTATTATAAATTAAGAAAAATTTCATATTAAATTTTTTCTCATTAAAAATGATGGGGAAAGAAAAAAATAGACAGAAAAGGCGGTTTTCGAAGAGGGTTCATGCATAATCGTAATGTTGAAAAAGAAACTAAGTAATCTTATTAGTGACGCCAAGTAGTAATACACGGCCGGATTCACATAGATATATAAACATAGGTATATATGTATAGGTAAACTTACATTTTATTCAAGCATATAAATTTATTTATGCAATTAAAATTAGATATGCATATGAACACAAATTTATATAAGCTTATGTATGTATGGTATGTATATATTTAATGTATAGTGAGCATATGAATAATTTTGCTTGCACATCTACATACATACATAAGCGAGTGCGCTTTTAATTGCATTGAACTTAATGAGCAAAGTTTATGAATTTCATTTAATTGCATTAAAAGCTTTCCAAACTGCCTAAGAAGCGTGTGAAACAGTACTATTTAAAAATAAATTATTTATTTCTTTTTTTTTTTTTTGAGTTTTTTTTAATGGAAAATCTATGTATTTGTTAAGCCATTAACTCAAAGAGTGTTAATGTTTACGAGCTTTAAATTTGATTGATTTGACAGCGCATAAATAAAATAAGAAAAGAATAATAATAAAAAAATTAAGCGAAAATTAATATGGGTGTGCATGATTTAAAAACTATTAACGTATTTTATTATTTTTATATATATAATTATATATAACACCAGTAGTATCTTAATTTCTACAATACCAGCTTACGTTTACCAGTATAGATATTTACAATATATGTGCATATAAATACATATATGCAAAGCTATATTTTTTTTGACAAATCACTTCAACGCTTTTAACCAAACAAGTATTCATAATATTCATAACATCAGCATTGCCCAAATATTTTATCATTAAAGAAAACGAAACAAAAATAATCAACAATACCACCTTTCTGCCCACCACAGCAACAGGTGTAGGAAAAACAATTACTTTTAATCGCTGCTACCAACAGATTTAACTGTCAACAATTATGTAGGACAAAGTGTATACAGACAAATCTATATCACCATAAAAAATCTTTGACACCAAAAATCAAACTAGCTCTCAGTCGAAAGACCCAAAAATTTTTGTTTTGTTCTTACTTCAATTGAGGTCTTTTGTGCAGGAGCTTAGCTGCTGAGAGTGGCAACATGTGGGCGGCAAAGATAAATTCGAATATTGCAAGACATACATTTCGCTTTGTATCATATTTTGTGACATTCATTAACACAATATTTTCACCTAGAAAACCTGTCGATGCGGATGTAAGTGATTAACACGCATATGGTTTCGATCATTCATTCATAAAATAACTGTCATAAAATGATAAGACAACAAAAACTTAGAAGAAAAAAATTAATTAAATCAAATACGCTAAGATGAAATGAAATGGAATTAAATAGGTTTAAATAAAGTTGTTGTAAAATATAATAAAATTAAATATGAACTAAACAATGAAAGTCGGAATGAAGCAAAATAAAATAAATGAAAACATAATAACATATTGTAAGCTTAATGTAAACGGAATACATAAATAAAATAAAATCAATTCAAATCAAATAAACCAATGAAAATAAAATAAAATGAAGTAAAATGAAATAAAATTTAGTGATATATGAATGTAAAACATATTAAAGTAATTTCAAGAATATTAATAATAAACTAAAATAAAATAAAATAAAATAAAATAAAATAAAATAAAATAAAATTAAATAAAATAAATTAAAATAAAATAAAATAAAATAAAATAAAATAAAGAAAATAAAAAAATTAAATCATATTTAATTGAATTGAAGAACATGAAAGAAAATAAGACAAAATAAAGTAAATAAAATAAATAAACAAATTTACATAAAGGAAAAAAATAAGAATATAGAATATAATGAAATAAAGTAAAATAAATAAAAACAATTAAAAAAATAAAATTAAATTACAATAAGAATTAAAATAAAATCAAATTAAATTAAATATAAAATAAAATAAACAAAATAAGAATAAACATTGAATTTAAAAAAAAAACTGAAAATAAAAATAAATTAAAATTATTGGGGTACGAAATAATTTTTCCTTTTTTGGGTTCAAAAAAAATTTTTTTTTTATAGAAAAAAACATAAAATTACACATTCATAGTATTGTACATCGGAAACGACTTCTTTTTCGAATCACTGATAATTTTCCAAAAAAAAATTCTTTCTTTCTTCAATCGGTCTCAAGGAATGGAGAACGCAACGGTTGCGGTAAGACCTCCCTTTTCTCTCTAAATGCAGATTCACCATAAAATTTCCCGAGCAAGATCGGCCAGAACTTGCAAGTGAAGACATCTTTTGAGAAAGAAACGAATTAATTTGTAGCCACAAGAAAAATGAAAATAAAATAAAGGAAAGTAAAATAAAATAAAAATAAATTTAATTTAAATAAAAAATTAAATTAAATTGAAATAAATGAATTAAATAAAAAATATAATATATGAAAGATAATAAATTATATATATAAATGGCGCTTTGTAACCGCTGAAGCGATTTTTGGCCGAGCTCCTCCTCCAATTTGTGGTTTTGCGTTTTACTGTTTTTCCAAAAAATGGTTTATACTAAGCCGCCTCCGAACGGCTGATGGTTCTTATGAGAGCTTTTGATTTTCTTGTTACAAGTACACTCGGAGGGGTTTGCATTCCCTGCCGAGGGAATTCATTTTCCATTTGGTATTGGTCGTATCAGGATTTGAACCCACACAATGCTAACACCTCGACTACCGCCCATAAAAAATTAAAATTCATTTAAAAAAATTAAATATAACAATTTTTAGTAAAATTAATTGAAAATAAAATAAATTAAAAATAAACAAATTAAAATAAATAAATTTATAAAAAAAACTACATAGAATATAATACATTATAGAAAAATAAAGTAAAATCAATTAAAAAAATAAAAGAAAATAAAAATAAATATATTAAAATAAATTAATTAATTCCAATTAAATATAATAAACTGTAGTAAAATTAAATGAAAGAAACATTCACTTATTGTTAAATTAAACTAAAATGAAATAAACCGTCAAATAAAATCCCACTCCATGTAAAAAGTAAAATAAAAAAAAATGTATTAATTAAAAAAAATTTAAAATAAAGTAAAGACATAACACACTTTCGTAGAGTTGGCACAAATCTACCAATTAACAAATTGCAACATATAATATTTGTAAATCTAACGATTGCGTCAAATGCAGTGCGAAAATCAGCAATTGTTGCATGCAACTTTACACCTTTTAAAGCCTTTTAATTTAATTAACAATTAGCACGCAACAAACACTTATTTATTCTAAAGCCACAGCAAAATCGCCCGCCAACTAGCACACTGTACGTATTAGAGAGGAATTGAAAAAATTAGACAAAAAAAACACTACAAAACAAAAGTGGCAAAAGTGAAGTAAGAGTAAAAACCAGTTGACCAGTAACTTAGTGCAATGAATATAAATTAGAGCAAATAAAACGGTTTCACACAACACACATACAAGCGAACGCCAATCGATACTGCTACACAGCTGTAATAAATTAAATAAACAAAAGCAAGAATGAGCCTCAAAGTAAATTAAATAAATGTTAGTGGTAAATTCCAAAGCAACTGAAGCTGCCCTCAAAGGTATAGTTTTATTTTCTATAATTTCAAATGGCGACAAAACGAAATGAGACCAAAACTAAACACAAAATCGAAATCTTTGTCTTTAGTCACTTTTATTCCATATGTTTTTCCCTCCATAAGTCCGATTTAAACAGTGATTCAATTTGAATTCAATTAATGAAATAAAATATTTGCATGTATGTACATATGTACGTCTCTTAAGATATTTTATATCGGTCACACGTTCATATGTATATTTGTTTTAGTTATTTCTTCGTATGTTCTGTGGCTGCAGCGGCAAATGCTGAATTAAAAAAAGAACAAAAACAAAAAAAATATAGCTACAATAACATTAAGAAAACAAAGTAATAAATAATAGCACGTAACAACAATAACAAACAAAACATAGTATTTACATTTATTTAAGTTAAACAAGAAAAAAGACACAATGTTATTTACTGAACAATTCAAAAGAAGAATGTAGTCTAACAGGTTTTCTGTGACAGCGGTCGAAAATTGTGTGACCACTAACATATATGCTGAATAAATTCAATAATAAACGTAACTAAATATACTATAAACAAACTTACATACAAACAAACATGTTAAAAAAAAAACATTTTTTATTATAATTTAAAACTGAACCAATGATCGCAGCTTAGAATGGAAAATGTTTTTGAGCTGAAGTTAAAAATGTATATTGAATTGAACACAAAGAGTTTATTCTACTCTTTCCACTGATGACGCCACCTCTGAAAATTAGTTTCTAATTGACTTTTCTTGGGACAGAAATAAATTTAAGCATTTTAAGCGACTGACTGAGTTATAGAAAATACTTATTTTTGCAGTCGTCCTCCGGCAGGGGATGTCAACCGCTCAAGTATATTTCTAACATGAAATAAAAACTTCTCGACAGCGATTTAGAGGAAAGCTGTAGGACTCTTAATTCGTTTGAAAGGAATATTCATTCGCAAACAACAAATTGCCAAACATTCATAGCAAGCAGTAGAATTGCTCTCGTTACTGCTAGACCATTATACGAACAGATCTTGTCTAATATACATTCATTCAATCCAGAGCATTAATTGGATCTTTCAATTGTTATTTCTTACAGTTTCTTACAAGTATTTCCTTTCAATTTTTGAAGAAGAGAGTATAATAAAGTTTAATTTCCTTAAAATCTAAATCAAACTTCGCCTTCTTCTAGTCAAGATAAAAAACTAAAAAATTAAGGAAAGAAAAAGCAAAATTATTAATAAAAAGTTCCGGTAAACCAAAATTTAGCAGAAAAAAATTCTAA